ACTTTTATTTAAATAGCGGATGAATTGAATAGCCACAATAGTCTTCAATTACATGACATTCAATATAATTGGGCTTTAGGAACATACTATTATAAATTGTCACGCAAATGCAGGTGCAGAGTGCACGACAACACGTGATTCTGGTCCCAGTAAGCACTTACATGATTTTGAAAAAGAAACAATTCCGAATAAACGAGATTTAACGAAGTATTTTTGGACAAAGAGATTTCGCGGTAAAAAAATTTGAAGATTTTCTTCGTTTCCAGTTGATGATACAATAGCAAGTAACGATACAATATCAAGGTAATTTTGACGAAATTTCAAGGCGGGTGTATAAGAATAGTTATATAAACCAGCGCTTACGACCGAAAACCCTCATAACTTTTAAGCTACGCTGCTCGACAGATCTATCGGGCAGAATATATTATTTTCATGAATGAATACATATTGAGGCAGTTGACGCTTTATAATAGAAGTATTACAAAACTTAGGACTACTCTTCGCATTCTTGCAAGCGTAATCGGTTATGAAATGAAGGCATTATTAATGAATCGTCGTTACAGGAAACGGTGGACATTACGCGACATATTTTGGCACTCGTGCTAATACAAGTTCAAGACACAAATACAGATGTGTGACCCTCATACGTATGTGTTCGCCACACAAATACAGATGTGTGGCCCTCATAAGTCTGTGTTCGCCACACAAATACAGATGTGTGACCCTCATACGTCTGTGTTCACCACACAAATACAGATGCATGTGTGGCCCTTGTATAATGCGTTCGCCACATAAATGTATAGGGTCATCAAATGTATTCGGCTGCACCACACAAGACATGAAGAAGCTAGGCATACACATTCAGATACCAAGTCTCCGTGAACGTGGATTCGTACACTGAAAAATAAGTATGCCACACTGTTATAGGTCAACTTACACATAGAATGTCACTATCAGATAGACAAGAAAGTCAATAATTGCTAAAAATTTCGCCCTATTCTGCTCCTGCAACCGAATTTTGTTTAGATTGATTAAGTAGCATCATAGATAAGCTTAGATACTACTTGAACGAAATAGTTTTATGCGTGAAATAGTCTATTTATTTTTCATTGCAAGCCAAAGCAATAAGTATAAGCTTAAATCCATACCAAAAAATGTTTAATTTACCGCTTATCGTCATAAAAGGATAACCACGATCTAGAAAATATAGGGAGCTTACTAATTTCCAAGTTACTCCAAAATTTGAATAAAATTTCTCTTTTTAACCTCACTTGACGTACATTAATACTCTCAATTCTCTGAGCATCAAATGTGAAGATGAACTGATACTTCTAACCATAACGGCTCCTTAAGAGGAAGAGGAACTCAAGTTTTGACTAAACTTCTCGGATCTGCAAGAAATTGTCGAATGTTTTACTTCAGAATCCAATAAATTCTTACGCATTCAGGAAATGAAGCTAAAAAAATTGCCGTAGCAGCGAGGTAAAAAGTCTTTGATGCAACAGAAGTTGAAGGTAAAATGGCTATGGCAGCGAGGGAACAAGTATTTGATGCAAATGTGATTGCACATCAAGCTCCAATATTGATGAATATTGCAGGAAATGAATATAAAATCTAATTAAATTAGTTGACTAGAAGTATTGGAAGTTGCTATTGCTATTACATTGAGACAAGAAAGTGGTATATGGCCCAGAGCAGCGATATGTGACATTTATCAAACTTTGATATTAACTCTTGTTTTAAGATATGCGTAGAGCACCACGACTCGGGGGGTGTATAGGGTAGAAATACCGCATTTCACGATACTCCCGGTAGAACTTAGCAAATCTTTATGAACCTATTATTCGATAGCACATAATGTCGGAAAATTAACATTTTTGAGCAGAAAAGAAGTAGGTACCTATAACAGCGAACAAGTTCCTGGCAACTATGAACAATTTGAATTACAGAAAAGTAATCTATGCATGTTATAAAAACGATCTAGGATGCCAAGTAAATGAGATGCGCAAAAAGCTTTAAAAATAAAAAACGGGCAAATGCTTGGAACCTATTAGAAGGATTAGTTAATGGAAGACTTTATTGCAAAATCGGACTATTTTAATTCATAAGGCAAATTACCAGGTTCTTCGTCCATCACAGACAATGGCCAATATTTCTGCTAATTACAAGTAGAGCCAATATCCCGCCAATTACAACAGTGGCCAATAATCTGCTAATTACAACAGCTAGTGGCTAATATCCAGCCAATTACAACAGTGGCCAATATCCCGCCAATTACAACAGTGGCCAATATCCAACCATTCACATCAGTGGTGGACATCGCAACATATCCCAGTCAATATCCTTATCCTAAGTATCCATAATACGTGTTTCATACGTAGCAGCCCCTGGCCACGCTGGGGCGGCGCCTAATAAGCACACTACCCCTTAACTATCACAGGCTACGTTGCAAGCTTAGTCAAGCTAGTTCTCTGCAAGCCTAAGAAAAAAACTATTATTGGAAGACAATCTTGTGAGAATTAATCGTTAATGTACAGAATTTTTGAACGCACGCTAAGGAAGCGAGCATTTCAAATAGCGAAGCAGCCTTATAAAAAATCAGACCACAGCTATGCTCACCATTCATTCTCACAAGAATGCTTATATAGCTTATTAGGGCCGACAATAAAGTTCTATTAATGTTAGTTTCTAGTTAGCAGTTAGTAGCGCAAGCTTAGGAACGTTACCATCTCTCTACTGAAAACATAACAATATTTAGGGTAATCTTTTAACTTAGCTTAACTACAGCACTCGCAGGAATTGCACACGGCCAAGAATGGAAAATAACTAACATTGTATGCATCAAATAAAGGCTTCAAAAAAAATGATGCAGTATATCATTTTAATGTGAAATTGACAGGCGCCTTATCGGTGGCCAGGATCACTCTTTTTTTGCCAATTTTAAGCAAAAATTAAAAAAATTAAATTTTTGCCAAATTTTGCCAGCATCGTTAAACTTTGCCAGTAAATAAGTAAAATCACTTCGCCTCAATCAGGATTAATGAAGTCGAGTTAATCGATTTCCTCAGTTAGAACAACTTTAAATTTAACTTAATTAACTTCGTACAGGAGAAAGGATCCCTGAATGTAGATTACTTAAACTAATATCAAAGATTAATATCAAACTAAGAAATAATGAAATGCAATGGATCAAACTAAGAAATGTAATGAGCGCCAGTGTGAGAAAAGCTTAACTGATGAAGATAGCCATATGTGAAACTATAACCTTTAGAATATTCATACTAAAACATAAGCAGTCACCACAAAATAACAGTAATTCATTCATGGGTTTGAAGAGCGCCCATTACTCCACGAAAAGCGTAAAGCAGAAACAATCTGCATGAAAAACAACATAGAAAGCCAATATATAAAGAGCTATCTGCCAAGCAACACTGAAATGAAGGGACAGGCATTTTCACCATGCAATAGTCACATTTTTTCTAGCTAAACTCAAGTCTAAATCGTTACGTTTTTTGGCAGTGCAACGAAAACCTTTATTGGGAAGAAAGGCAGCTCAAATTGCCTCAGAACAGACTCGTATCTTCATAAAATTAAAATGGAATGAATTTGCTCACAATTTATTTATTAATAGAATATTTATTTAATAAAATATTTATGTGCTAAATTCAGACCGGATATCAGAAACAGTATTCAAGCTCTGCTTCCAATAAAAAGAGATAAACTAATCTGATTTTGCCGAGTTTTATCTGTTGATAAGTAATGCGTACTGGTAGGACATATTAATACAATTTTAAGAAACGGGGATCGAAACCTTCGCTATGTTCCACGCAGCAGCGCCATGAAACATTTTAATGGGATGATGGCAATGATAGTTTACGGGTGAGAAGTCGAGATGATGGCTTAATCATGCGATTGGCGCTAAGCAAGATGCCGCAAAAATCACAGCAGCTAAAGAGGAAAATGTACGAACGACTGAGAACTAATTAACCAGGTCTCATTGCCACAATTTTAATTGAAGATCCTATAAGTAGCTAATCTAAAAAGCGTTCAAACCCACAGCATACAGATATCATTAGAAATCACAGCATATATATCCACCAAAGTCAAAAGCTAAAGAACAAGTTGCCTAAATACAAATACAAAAAGAATAAAATAAAATTAGACGCCTAACCTTCCAATGAGGGTGAAACTGATTCTTTGACCATCGGGCAAGGATTACCCGTACTTACATTCTATATAATTGCAGGAAACTACGCTGCAGTCAATTATTAAAGAAATTGCGTCTATTATTCGACTGAAATGCTTTCGGAAATATATGGGCGTTAATATTCATAGTTCAAATTTAAAGCCGATGCTGAACTTCTGTGCAATAGTGATTCAGTGTTAGAAGCTCAGATCACAACTCTAGGCCAATTTACAGCAAGTTATTCAGCTCAAAACTAGATATTTAGTAAGAAGGCGTCAAATTAACCTGAATTTATAACACAACTTTCCTACAAATTTTCGATACCTACTAACTAGCAAAAATAAGTTTTACGAACTGGGTGCAATTAATCGAACTCAGCAGTGCGTATAACATATAAGAAGGCTTAAAACGAAGCACCACGACTGTCATAACGCCACCTCCAGGCGAAAGCAAAATCTCGAATGATCTCTTGAATTCTGGGGGAGAATTCCAGAGTTGGAGCAGCGACCGGAGCACTAAGACAAGTAAATGGGTAATAGTGTCCAAATAGTGACTTTTTCGTATTTTCGATACGCCTTTTTGGTTGTATCAAGCTGAGTCAGGATGCCCCGCAGAAAAGCGAAAAAAGTGTATCGTTATTTGAACAAATTTCGCTCTCTTTTCTGTGAGAGTTATACTACAGAAGTGAATTTCGCCGTCCTGTGTTCGGTTTGCCTCCGACTTGTTGGTAGTTCTTGATATAAAGAAGAGGTAGATGGTGATCCAAAACAAAGCCCCTCTCTGATAAATACAATAAAATAGAAGGTATACAATATAACAAGGCAGAAAGCTAGTTACATTTCACAGCAAGTAAAAAGCATAAAGAAGAAAAATCAATGGTATGAACAGTATGGTATGGGTTCAAGTCCATAAGAATAAGGTAAGCTACTATGGGGAATGTTGCAGTTCTGATGCTGTCGAGCAGTAAACGTCGTTAGGTCTAACGGAAATTTTCAATTGACTATGCAAGATAGTTTTATGACCAATCTAACATACTAGAGTGAAGAGCTCGGAAATAGTATATTGTTTCTAGTATTGAACAAGTGAACGCTAGCTGTTTTATAGACAAGTCAACATCAGGAAAACAAATTCTTAACAACACCTAACGTAAGTGATATTACCGATGCTTGCCTACAGGAAAATAACCTGTTACCAAGAGCACCTTCCGAAACATTGACAAATCTGAAGCAATCGTAGCACAGGCTTTGCGTAGGTCGCCCATAAACCGGTTCCGCGATATCAGTCAACCATTAAATCCAAGTAAATTATTTCTATATACTCGGACACTGAGATTATGAAGAAATTAATAGCAAGATGGACATAAAGACACCACATAAATGACACCATGGACATAAAGACGTGCCAGGTCATTGATGTAGAGTTGGGACAGGCAGGTGGAGGTCTAAAGCGACGACCAGGCTAACATAATTCACACATGAAAAAGCTTATCAGAACAAGGGGATCAAGAGACAGGCCAGTAACAAAATAACACCCAGTCAGTGAAGACTAACCATTCCTGAGGCTGTTCTAAAATGAATACAAAATGTTTATCTAAGACAATATGCCACAATATTTGTATCGTTGTACGGAAGCATGACAAAAGAGGACATCCTCCAACTGAAATCATCAACTCGGGCAGTGCGACACTTGCTATCACGTCTTGTCAAGAATAACAAATTAGAGTAGTATTCAACTGTACAAATCGAATAACTAGATGAAAAAAGGTGGACAATTTAACGTATATAAATGTTTACCAGTCAAATGTAGTATATATAACCGTAAAAATCAAAGTTCCGTGAAGTCAAACAAATGAGCCGAACAAGAAATGAAATCGACTCAAAACGAATCTAACTACAAAATATCTAACCTATATTATTGTAAATACATCAAATTCCGCAAATAAAACGGGAGAAATTAGCATTGTATCGAAACCGCCTGCAAAGTTAATTTCGGATGTACATCCGCAAACACTAAAGAAAAAAACATAAATAGAAGACCCGTTTTGCACAAACACTATAACTGCTCTGCAATGCATACCGTCACTGCTCTGCAATGCATTATAGTCACTGCTCTGCGATGCATCGTCACTGCTCTGCAATGCATACCGTCACTGCACTGCGAAGCATATATTGGTTTCTGTCAGAGAAACATTTTCTCCAGAACGTTCACACAGATATCACTTTTGGCCCTGATGAACCCATTCATTACAAGTTAATTTCACATCACTCCTTACAACGGTACTTTTGCAACCATTTATCAAGGCAATTGCGGCATTTCCTAAATACAAGAACATTAAGATTACCGGTAGTTTATCATCACTTGAGTTGGACAAGTCATTCTAACGCATAAAAATAACAAAAGTTTCAACTCACCTGAGAAGCACGTATGCCGATCAATTGGACTTTTTTTCTCACGTTCAAACGTTCAAGATACGCTTAATGACATGGGCTTTTGTAAGAGCTTACGCAAGAATCAGGCTTCTCTCACAACTTAGGTTCTGTCTCTCCAGGTATATGACGTTGAAAAACCGTTGATTGTGGGTTGATTTCGTTTAGCAACGTTTAAACAAGAGTTGATTTTGTTGAGGAAACGTCCGATCAACATTATTTCAACGTCAGATGCCGGATTAAGTCAGGCTTTCAATAACTAACGGACGCCAAATAAAACATATTATTTTAGTGGTTTTCGGCGTACATAGATTCAGCAATTACGGCCCTTGAGGTAAACTCTCTCTAACTGTATTTATAAAATTCATATAAAAAAACCGTATATTAATCACGCAAGCGATGTTACTGACTTTCACCAATTTGGAACATCTAGAATATCAACTGGGGTTTCTTTTCCATCGGTATCGACCATTTCTTCACTCTGGTCCATCATAGCTCGCAGCTTGGAATATTGTTCTTGGTGCTTAGCTGAGGTAGCTCCGGTCGGGCTGTTGCCGAAAACGCTGCCGTCGCTTGGACTTGACGCTCTTTTCACGGATGCTTCTAATGCGAAAAGTAAAGGCTTTATAATTTCTGATCGTGACTTAAGCATATTAGCAATTATTTCGATACATTTCTCCAGGTCTGAACGCGATGCGTGCGTTAAGCCTTGAATTGCGGCAACTATGGCGGCCCCAGCTACGCAGGATGGTCTCTGGCAGATGAATTCTGACTCTGTAAAATCAGACGAGTAACATCAATAGAAAGCATTAGTGATTACGTTATCTCATACAGTATTAATCATATATGTCATGCATACAGCTGACCATCATCAAAGGGGATATTGAAACGGAAACTTTTACAGGTTACAAACCTCGATCTTAACAAAGAGGCAACATATGTCAAACAACTTGTAAGGATGTCAGGATGAAGTGAATGTTTTTTAGTTTTGTTAATTTGATTAGGCAATTTGCAAATGAAGATGTATACGTACATAACACAGATTTTACATAGATCAGCTGCAATTAAAAAGAACTACAGGAGCTAACTTTAATTTGAGTGGCCATAACCAAGTTTTTCGCTTAATAAAATCTCTTTATTGTGTTTGAAGCTAACACGCACCTGTTGCAGCTAGCGCGATAAAGGTAGAAGCGTGTCTTCTGACTCCGGTCACATCCACCGGTACAGGAATTTGTTGAAGTATAACCTCGACGAAGTCTATTGCAGTCACCGGGCACAAGTCCCATTTTAACTTGGCCACAACGAGGATTTCCCATTGCTGTGGGGAACGAAGAAGGGTTCTTACATTTGGGTAAAAAAAAAACTCCCGTTCTAGGAAGAGAAGAAATGAGTAAATAAAACAATGAAATGTTTTACAGTGTTTTGGTATTGCTGAGATAACAAAATGTCATCAATTTTTTATATTTATATATATTTTATATCACACTCTCTATACCCTATGAGGTGTCACACTCACTATAACCTCCTGTAAGATAACACACTCACTATAACTTCCTGAGATGTAACACAGTTATCGGTGTAGTAAGCTAGCAGCTCCACGGAGAGGTAGCTGCACTGGCGCAGCTTGGAGGCGAGCAGCAGGCAGACGCACGCGCTCAGCTGCAGTTGAGATCGCTTCACGGCGGTGGTGTTCAAGAAGCGGTCCAGCAAGTTGACGGCTACTAAGAAGACTTGGTCTTCGCAGCGCTGCTCGTCGCAAACCTAACAGGAAAAAAGAAACGACACTTCATAACAAAACAGAAAATAATACGGTTATGCCTAAATTTTCAAGGGAGGGACATAACTTTATAACAAAAGAGAAAAATCGAAGCGGTCCAGCAAGTTGACGGCTACCAAGATGACGTGGTCATCGCAGATGTGTTCGTCGCAAACTTTACAAGGGGAGATACGCCAATTATCAACAACATGAAAAAATAAAAAATCACTTAATAACAACACAGAAAAATTTGTTTTTACCAAATAATTCAATTGAAAATTGATAGGGTAAGTTATTAATATTAAACGCAATGGTTAAAAGTGGCAAATGAAGGTAATTATATCAACGAGATTGAAATTATGATCATCATGACCATGTTGAAGGGCAACTACGCTATAACAAATCCTACGCACGTGGCGCCGTTACAACGAATCCTGCGCATATGGCACCGTTACAACGAATCCTGCACAACGTCGCACCGTTACAACGAATCCTGCACAACGTCGCACCGTTACAACGAATCCTGCACAACGTAGTTACAACGAATCCTGCGCAACGTGGCACCGTTACAACGAATCCTGCGCAACGTGGCACCGTTACAACGAATCCTGCGCAACGTGGCACCGTTCCAACGAATCCTGCGTTATGTGGCAATCCTGCATTATATTGCGTCGATAAAAACAAGTCCTGCGTTACCTTGCAATTTTCACCATAACTTCATCATGTCCAAACCGTATTTTTTGCGGAGTTTCAAAATTGCGTAGAATCGTTTTGCTCAATTTGAGTAATAATAGTATATATATCTGACCTGAGCAATGATAATACACTGGCACGAGCAATAATACTAGATGTGAGCAATAATATTTTTGATCTAATTAAAAAAACATTTGATCCAAGTAACAATAATATATGCGATAAATTAGTTGCGAAGGCAAAAGTGAGACATGCCAGACACAAGCGTGCGCGGCAGCAACATTGCCCAACGCTATAACCTTGTAAGTTTAGTGAACTCGGCACGGTTTAAATGCCCAGCAAGGAAACGACAATAAGCACAACGCCGACAAGAACAGTAAGAGGCGACTGGTAGGGAAGGGCCTTGAAGAAAATCAAGTATAATGCAATGGGGATGCATAGGGGAGGGGGGAGCTGGGGGGCAGACTCCCCATAGAGGCATGAGAGGCGCGTTCAGGCACAGAATAGGGGAGTTGTGCCTCACGTTATTGCGCTAACCTCGCCCCGGCTGTACTTTTGCCGTGTGGCTGTACTTTTGCCTTGTAGCTGTACTTCTGCCTTGTGGCTGTACTTCTGCCTTGTGGCTGTACTTCTGCCTTGTGGCTGTAATTTTGCATGGTGGCTGTAATTTTGCATGGTGGCTGTACTTTTGCATGGTGGCTGTACTTTTGCCTGGTGGCTGTACTTTTGCCTTGTGGTTGTACTTTTGCCTTGTGGCTGTACTTTTGCCTTGTGGCTGTACTTTTGCCTCGTGGCTGGACTTTTGCCTTGTGGCTGTACTTTTGCCTTTTGGCTTTTTGTCTCTTGGCTGTGCTTTTGCCTTGTGACTGTACATTTGCCTTGTGGCTTTTTGTCTCGTGGCTGTACTTTTGCCCCTGAGACTGTACTTTTGCCTTGTGGCTGTTATTTAGCTCTTGTGACTGTACTTTTGCCGTGACTGTACTTCTGTCTTGTGGCTGTACTTTTGTCTTGTGGTTATACTTTTGTCTTGCGGCTGTACTTTTGCCTTGTGGCTTTTTGTCTCGTGGCTGTACTTTTGCCTTGTGACTGTACTTTTGCCTTGAGACTGTACTTTTGCCTTGTGACTGTACTTTTGTCTTGGGACTGTACTTTCGTCTTGGGACTACTTTTGCCTTGTTGCTGTACTTTTGTCTTGTGGCTGTACTTTTGTCTTGTGGCTGTACTTTTGTCTTGTGGCTGTACTTTTGTCCTGTGGCTGTACTTTTGTCTTGTGGCTGTACTTTTGCCTTGCGGCTGTACTTTTGTCTTGTGGCAGTACTTTTGTCTTGTGACAGTACTTTTGTCTTGTAACTGTATAGGTATACTATTGCCTTGTGGCTGTACTTTTGCCTTGTGGCGGTACTTTTGCCTGTGGCTGTACTTTTGCCTTGTGGCTGTACTTTTGCCTGTGGCTGTACTTTTGCCTTGTGGCTGTACTTTTGCCTGTGGCTGTACTTTTGCCTTGTGGCTGTACTTTTGCCTTGTGGCTGTACTTTTGCCTGTGGCTGTACTTTTGCCTTGTGGCTGTACTTTTGCCTTGTGGCTGTACTTTTGCCTGTGGCTGTACTTTTGCCTTGTGGCTGTACTTTTGCCTTGTGGCTGTACTTTTGCCTGTGGCTGTACTTTTGCCTTGTGGCTGTACTTTTGCCTTGTGGCTGTACTTTTGCCTGTGGCTGTACTTTTGCCTTGTGGCTGTACTTTTGCCTTGTGGCTGTACTTTTGCCTGTGGCTGTACTTTTGCCTTGTGGCTGTACTTTTGCCTTGTGGCTGTACTTTTGCCTGTGGCTGTACTTTTGCCTTGTGGCTGTACTTTTGCCTTGTGGCTGTACTTTTGCCTGTGGCTGTACTTTTGCCTTGTGGCTGTACTTTTGCCTTGTGGCTGTACTTTTGCCTGTGGCTGTACTTTTGCCTTGTGGCTGTACTTTTGCCTTGTGGCTGTACTTTTGCCTGTGGCTGTACTTTTGCCTTGTGGCTGTACTTTTGCCTTGTGGCTGTACTTTTGCCTGTGGCTGTACTTTTGCCTTGTGGCTGTACTTTTGCCTTGTGGCTGTACTTTTGCCTGTGGCTGTACTTTTGCCTTGTGGCTGTACTTTTGCCTTGTGGCTGTACTTTTGCCTGTGGCTGTACTTTTGCCTTGTGGCTGTACTTTTGCCTTGTGGCTGTACTTTTGCCTNGGAGTGGTGGCTGTGGTAGGAGTGGTGGTTGTGGTAGGAGTGATGGCTGTGGTAGGAGTGATGGCTGTGGTAGGAGTGGTGGCGGTGGTAGGAGTGGAGGCTGTGGTAGGAGTGGTGGCTGCGAAACAAGAGTAGTCCTATGATGATCATTGTACCAACACCACAATACCATTGTTGTCACGGTGATCTCAGTAGGATAAAGCATCATTATAGGAAGGTTTTTCCAATCCCCGGCAGGAGGGGGGGCAGTTAAGCAAGGAGAAGGCGGAGGGGCAGGCGTGCCCCATAGACAGCCTCCACGTCCCCTATGGGAGCCCCAAGCCCGTCTGCTCCATGCATGCAATGCGACGCCCGCCCCTCACGCACACGCATAATCACACACGTACACGAATATTTGGACATCCCTGCGAATAATTGAACGCGCACACGCATAATTAAACCATGCGTGTCGCCATGCTTGCAGACGCGTGGATGGCGCACGGAAACGCCCACGAACGAGCGGGTGGGAAGCTGAGTGAGCGCATCATGACGAAGCGTGCGCACGTCACGCACAGACGTGCGTGACGTGCAGCACCGTAGTGCAGTGGAAGTGTGACGTGCAGCACCGCAGTGCAGTGGAAGTGTGACGTGCAGCACCGCAGTGCAGTGGACGTGTGACGTGCAGCACCGTAGTGCAGTGGACGTGTGACGTGCAGCACCGTAGTGCAGTGGACGTGTGACGTGCAGCACCGTAGTGCAGTGGACGTGTGACGTGCAGCACCGTAGTGCAGTGGACGTGTGACGTGCAGCACCGTAGTGCAGTGGACGTGTGACGTGCAGCACCGTAGTGCAGTGGACGTGTGACGTGCAGCACCGTAGTGCAGTGGACGTGTGACGTGCAGCACCGTAGTGCAGTGGACGTGTGACGTGCAGCACCGTAGTGCAGTGGACGTGTGACGTGCAGCACCGTAGTGCAGTGGACGTGTGACGTGCAGCACCGTAGTGCAGTGGACGTGTGACGTGCAGCACCGTAGTGCAGTGGACGTGTGACGTGCAGCACCGTAGTGCAGTGGACGTGTGACGTGCAGCACCGTAGTGCAGTGGACGTGTGACGTGCAGCACCGTAGTGCAGTGGACGTGTGACGTGCAGCACCGTAGTGCAGTGGACGTGTGACGTGCAGCACCGTAGTGCAGTGGACGTGTGACGTGCAGCACCGTAGTGCAGTGGACGTGTGACGTGCAGCACCGTAGTGCAGTGGACGTGTGACGTGCAGCACCGTAGTGCAGTGGACGTGTGACGTGCAGCACCGTAGNAACAATGAAGGCAACAGAACAACAATGAAGGCAACAGAACAACAATGAAGGCAACAGAACAACAATGAAGGCAACAGAACAACAATGAAGGCAAGCTCCAGACGGAGGCTGAATGGCCTTGACTCTGCCGTGCTGCGGTGACGCGATAACGCTGCTCTAACAATGACGGCTAAAACAAAAACACTCAAAATGCATTAATTCTCATACCAATGACAAATAATAGTACGACCGTAATAAACAACATAATCGAGCTAGGAATTATTACAAATGGCGGCAACGATCATGAGCTTGGCATTATATCAATTTATAAACATTGACATATAGGATTGAACTGCAAGCTTTTCCTTTTTGCGATGCTACATTCAAGAGGCTAAACATAAATATTTATTCGGAACAGATATGCCGAACATATAATTAGGAAGAATTATGAATCATCGACAATGAATTAGGCTATTAGCGTACCGAGAGCTAATTCTAGAAATTATAAGAGATTAAGTGAATAATGAGCACCCGACACAAATAGGCTTGTAGTCTGCCCAATATGAACACAAGTCAACACAATTATAAGATTGTAACGAGAAGAAACAACAACTCAAGAGATAAACGCTTCTGAAAAAACCAGTGCCTCCCAGAAAATATTTGCAGAGAGTGACTTTTTGTTTAGGTTTTGAGGCCGCCTCGCGACGAGCGCCCAACTCTTGCCTCCGAGAAAACACTCGTGTACGTGAATATCATGAATATATTTACGTCTGATGTGATGTCAAGCGTTTGCTTCTAATAAATGTCGCCTGAATACGAATATGCTGAAAAAAGACAACCTTATTCGTCGAGAGAACTGAGTAAAAATAAACTATGAACTATAACTACCGTACTACCAAAAAACTACTTGCCTTTAAATTGGAAATGTAGAAAATACGATGTGATGGAAGAATATAAGCACACGCGGTATAAGCAAAATTTCTATCGCATACGTCATACCAGTAGTAAGACTGCTAATTATTTTCCTCTGATTATTATCAGGCATCTGATTGAAAAATCAAATCATTCTATATTTACAACATTGTTAATGAGCGCTTCCAATTAAAATACATATAAAATATGAAACAAAGTTTTTACATGACAAGTGTCTCAAGTTCTATGAAGCAACGTATCAATTAACCCACTAACTAGTAAGACTTTTTCAAAAAGTGTTGGAACATACCAATAGTTGATTGCTGAACACAAGGAATGAATAGTGAATTAGTGGCTGCTAGTTTGAGGAATTTAACGATAGAAAATGAAAGCTGTCTTGTACCTAGAGATTTTTCTGCAGCCTCCAGTGACTCTGTAGCAGCCACCGTTGAGGAAATATTAGCAGCCACAACGCCCATGTGTGTGACCTCACTGGCCGCTGAAAAAAGTAGCGGCCACTGGCCGTTGAAACAGTAGCGGCCACCAAGTACAATACCTACACACTGCATGGCTGCAAAGGCACCGGGTTCACGCAGCTTTAGTCTTGTAGATGTAAGGGATTGCGAATGGTTCGCTGATTAAGGGTTTATACGTAGAAAATAACTGGCGTATATATAAATACCATGTACTGTAATACATACCAAAACTGGTATATATACCAACGTTCGTTTATCAGCAAGCATCAGGACGTATGAAACAATCTATCTGGACACGTGGCAGATCTTCTAACTTGGCAGCAGCGAAAAAGTTACGGCGTATACGGGATTAAGCGAAATGGATATGAAATAAAGGCTAACAGTTCATCAAAGTACAAAAGGTATACGAGATACTAGAGATATTTGGTCGCTCTACGCCCGAGTTATTGCCCCAAGCTTTCAACCAGTTTTGTTGTCCGCTCCAATAGACTTTTTCGAAACGAATGATCGTGACCGAGGTCACTATTTTATTCTTGAAATTGCCTCATTTTCACAGCAGACATAAATTCACCTAGACATTCAATACCGATTCGGTCAACAAGATACTTATAACCACGAGTTCGACTGGCGCAGTAAGTTACTAGTTTTTGTAATATAGAAGTTACACAAATGCAAATAAATATTTGAAATGGCTTGAAAATGAGTACGTACCTACATGGAGTAAACACAATATTATTCATAATAAAACTTGTAGTAATTATTTCACTGAGCGGCATTTCACTTTGAAATATCATTAAAAAACGTTTTATCATTTGCAAGATCCAAGACTTGAAGGATTCAATCGCAACCAAATGATAATAAGAGGCTGTTTTGATATTCGTTTAATTTTGTTAATAAAATAGATAATTTCTATTAAATTTTGGTGACAAGTTTAATGGCGACTAAAGTGTCAGCGTCGTTAAAATTGATTGAGATGGCACTTGAAAGGATATGCGCATTTCGTGACACTTTATTCAATTAAAGGTGGTGTGGCTATTGCACAGAGTGGCTGATGAGTCATGATTATACCCTTCAGTGCTGAATAGCGGTTTTCCGTAGCATGGATTAGACTTCGTGAAACACGCACCCAAACGTGGACAACACGCAGCAACGACACGCAGAAACGACAAGCAATAACTACACGTAGGAACAACACGCATGCAGCAACTGGCCGGTTACACGCAGCAACTGGCCGGTTACACGCAGCAACTGGCCGGTTTAGGACTCCAATCACTCAGTCCCGATTAAGAGGACACAAGCTTCAAACATTCTAATTAGAAACTGACGATATCATTATTTTTACACGTACTGACACACACATGGAGTGTACGTTGAAGACAGACCACCCGCAAGCCTACTATAACGATATTTGTATGCGTAGCCTGATGAATTAAGGCGTTTACACTGTACATGTACAAGGTCGTATCAACATCTTTCAATTATAAGCATTAAAAACGCAAATATCTTCAATTAAGTCGCTCGTGTGACGAAGTACGTTCACACTTTAAAGAAAAAGCGATCGATTTTACACATTCTTCCAGCAGCGCATTCTTTTACTGAACGCATTTCGCGTTTCGGAATTTTCGCTTTTCTAGAAGGCTCATATTTGAAATTTTCCAATCGCGTGTGGGCGTGAATGATGCGCCTGGTAACGAGTTCTCGTCCATACACATTTTTTTCAATATTCACTGAGGAGAAAACTGAAGAGGTCATTGTCCAAACAGTAACTACTAGCTTTCCCAGAGCACGAGCAGAAAACGTAGAACGGATACACCCTCCTGTCGTACACTACTGGGGCAGGACGACCCATACAAGGGTAAAAATTGCATCGCTATTAGCACAATAACTCTCTCATTTCTCCCAATGCGGTGCGCGTTCTAAAACTGCTTTACAGATTGTTCGATGGTCAAAAGCGCGTTATTCATACGCGGCATATCGCAAATTAACGACGTAGTTAAAATATCTCTTTTAGTTTAGGCAACTTCTAAAGATAAATAGTTATTCATCATTTACAAGAACGTTGGCACCGGTACATTTATGCAAACGAGATAGATGTATAGAGAAACAGTGGTTTAAATGATATGGATGTATCGCAGAAACATTGGTCTAAATGATATGGAGGTATCGCAGAAAGATCGGTGTAAATGAGATCATTGAGATGATGTGTCGCGAAACATTGGTGTAAATGATCTGCATGTGGTTAAGATGAATTGTATCGAGAGCTATCAAGCCGTACAGCTGGCGTATCGAGCGCCACCAAGGCACCAACACCATCGCCTGGCTGGTGGACATCTTGCAATTCTAATAAATGAATAGAAACCCTTTGCAATGTATCGATTTGACTTGACACTAAATAACGGAAATAGGTACGTATTTTGTTTTGCGTACTTAAAACAGTCACTTTTGTCCCGCTAAATAATACATTACTTTTTCATCGAGTCAAAGTGTGTAGAATCGTCACTAAATGAAAACATTAGTACCTATTCCTAACACCTTACTATGTTCCAGGACTAAGAATCTCGAAAGTTTTATATGCGATTTAATTGAATGAAAACGATAGACCTTAATTCTGAACTGCAATTCTAACAACTGTAGACTTGCAACATCTAGTGGACCAAGTGACGTGATGTTTACCAGCAACGTCGTACCTATAAGCATTGTCGTTTATCGATGTACGTCTGTACGAAGCAAATTCGTTCAAGCAAATCCTTTAGTTCATCAAATTCAGTAGGCTACATAAAACCGCAAATCCCATGGCGTCTCTTATTAACGAGTAACGAACGAGATCCGATATATTTAAAGACTAAAGACCGATTAAATAGGAAAATATAAAAGTGCCAATTTACACGCAGCGGCGAGGAGGAGGTGCCACCCGGTAAATTTACTGGACCTGCTCACCTGCAGAGTGCAGACTGCAGCCAATTTCTCATAACATTTCACCAAACAAAATAAGCGATTTTCTATTCTGTTTTACTACACAAATAAATCAGTTACTATTACCACACAAACAAACCAAGAGCAACTTGGTTACCATTTGTGAATTGACAACAAGATTAGCCACGGCACATAGTCGGGGTGTTGTGGTTATAGTGCGAGGTACGCTAACCTAACTAGCTAGCTACCGGTGGTGCAATTGCTGGTAATTACATTTAATTGCACTGCCACTGACCTCGAGCATCCAGTTGGTGACGACTTTCCTCATAGCAGGCTTGATGTCAGACGAGGGGCTATACAAATATTCGTCTGTGGGGAGCATGGTCGACTGTAGCCTGAGCATGTTATCCAAAACCCGCCTGTCCTGCAGCAGCGACAGGTCGACCGACGCGTGTGGCGAATCCAGACCGGATAGTCCTGGCTCGTCGCACGTCAAATCTGGCCCAGACATTTTGTTGGCCTTTTTCAATATCTACACTAGATGTAAGGATCGCTTTTTACAAACGTCAACTAACAGGGTTTAAAATCTATTCAGCCTGTTTTTCAACAAGAATTTCTCACTATCTTTTATCTTTTAAGGTTCTAAATCAATAGTTTTGGTGATATTGCAAACTGTTAACAAATGCGCTAATGTCACGTGCCAAGTTTTCCGACTAAGTGACTAACAGCCAATTACAGAATCAGATATTCTCATTACTTAGATGAAGTGGTTTTCCATTTGCCTTCTAGGCAGCGACGCTAAATGGCTGTTGAGAAATGGTTGATTGATGTTGATAATGCGTATCAGCTGTTTCCGGCAGCCGCTGGTCTGATGTCAGCCTTGGGGTGGCGCCATATACAATGACTTAGTGAACGCAGGGATAAACTTCTGATCTAAAATACGTTCCGCATCGCTGTAGAGCGGGGACAAAGCTTCATTTATTAAAATGTTTTGTTTTTATTACCAAAACCGATAAAAAGATCGTGTAGGGTCATGCGAAACTATGTTATCACCCTCGGTAGGGAAGCGTCGCGCGGCACACGCATAGGACACACGACGCTACTCCCACGACTGCCCGAGACACACTGCCGACCACCTGACAACCCCGAACCCCCTGCAACACACCCCACTTTCCGAGCCCAATCTCATACTCCCTTTGTCTTTAACTTTAGTAATAAAAACTGTCAAAATGCAGATCAAATTTCATTTATTATAGCATTATGCATTACAAATAATGCAATCACAGAGTTTGATTCCATTTAAAGCCATATTTTGTCAACAATGGAGCCACAATTGTCGAAGATGCAAAGCACTGCTTGCAGCGGAGCGCAGCTGGCAGCCGCCATGATGAGATCAGCTGATGCAGACTCCGTCGTGGTTGAGCAGCATTCTTAGCCTCCCAAGAAGGCTAAACCGGCTTGCATTTAGTTATATCAGACTATTTTTTAAATAATAAATTAGACTTTCATTTACCATGGTCTATTTTCTCGAAGTTTTCAAATGAATTTCATGGTTGCGCGGGGATCACGTCCGGCTTTTCGGTGACTGGTGGCATGCAGGCTACAGCCACGTGTCGCTCTTGCCTCGATCACTTCTCTGCAATTTATTTATTTGTTTGAAATATTTGTTACATTTTTATGTATTACACAATTTCTAATTATTCTTCTTATGATTCTAATTACATCGAATATGTTTTGAAATGGTACGTCCAGGATATTGTAGTGTGTTTTTTTGTTTTTTTGCTCCTCCGAACCAAATTGGTTAATAATGAATATTTTTGCCAATTAAATTCCAATGCTGTAATAGTTGGACAATATACTGATGATTAGTAACATGATTTTTAGTTTTAATGAATCCTTTCCCATAAGTATAGAATTGCAGCCCAGTTTATTCATTATATAGAACATCAAACCGAAAAAATTATACCATGTGAACTCATTATAGGTTGTTTCTTGTAAAAACCTTTACATTGAGAAGCGCACTACCTGTCCCTCCAATCAAGCTATAGCTGTTGAACATGTAAAATATGCATCAACAATGTGGTAATCTCCTGAAAATTCATCCAGCCTTCTTCTGCACGCCTTCCAACGCGACCTTCGATTCGACAAAAAGAAATGTATCACTCAAAATGAAAACTCTTTTATTTAAAATATATTTACTGGTCATGACTGACGTAATTTTTCTTAAATCTGACCCATTTCTCAAAAAAATCAATCAAAAAGAACGGGAGGCTCTTGGATATTACCTGGAGAGTCCTGTTTAATGATCATCTGTGATAGAGCATACACTATATTAAATGAATGAGTCATGCTGTCTAAATAGCGACTCACTTTGTGCCTGTTACACTTATACGCTCATTTGCTGAGAAACAAACAGTCAGGATTACTTACACAATTAAGAGCTAAAGCACATTAAATGCTTTCCGCTGAAATCTCACTCATTATATATTATAATATATACATAATATATATTATAATATATGGTCAGTTGCTTATAGATGTCACTGCCCTTCTGAAGAAACTGTATAACCTCATTAGTAGAATTAAATTAAATAATTAAATTAACATTTAAAATTTTGGCACGTTTTAGGATTATTAATTTAATCACCAAAACCTTCATTTACAACAGTTTTATTAAATTATCATGCGAGGTCGAAAATTTTTAACATTCTGAAAAAAATACTTATTAAATTCTCCGGTAATGTCTATGTTGATATCCTTATTAGATTCATCTTGTTAAAAAAAGATGAACAAAATGGAAAATAAATCCATTTTAAATCGCACCAATTCTCCTACTTCTTTAAAATATGATTATATTGATTATTTATCGATTCTTCCTACCTTAGCTGCGAACATTAAAATGACGAACATTTTCGAGTAATCAATCGGCAAGGCAAGTCCTGCTTGTTATAATTAGCAGCTTTTCCAGTAAACATAAATTAATTTAAATAAATACCTAAAAATTTAAACACACGTTTGAATTTCAAATTCAGTTCTTACAGCAAATTGTTGCAGCTTCAAACCTAAAATTATAAATTTTTAAATAATTTTCAGATTTTTATTTTTATATATAATGAAAAAAATAAAAAAAAAATTCACAGCCTGTACTGAGTGCGACGGAGTAGAGAAGTAAACAAAATTCAGCATCCGTTTTGAAAATAATGCAATTCAATGAATATAAAATTAATACAAAACTGCCAAAAAAAAACAAATATTTCCTGTACGGTTTTTGTATGGAACGCACTTGTTTCCGGTTTTTGGTATCACTGAGAAAAATGACTGGGTATATTGTCTACATTGTGACACACTTACTGTACGTAGCAATGATGCACTCTTATACCTGACCAAGCTAGGTCAAGATGACCCATCCAAAGATCAAAAGTACATCGCTATTTGTCCCAAGTCTCCTCGATCATTTATTTGAGTGTCCGCATATATATAGTCAGTGTTCAGTAGCGCCGCGTTTTGCCGTCACACCAATTATCAGAATTATCAAAATCAAAATCAATTATCAAAATTGATTTTTGTAATCTATTATTCATTTTTCAATCCGAAATAATCTATATTAAGTTTGAGAGAGTGCATTTTGGTGCACCAACTTGAATGTTCTTTATATGAAGGAGGGTATTTAATAAATTTACATGAAATTTTATTACCTGCGCTCTATAGTAATGACACATCGCGAAATTTATCTTAGATTGAGAAGCTAAAATTCTAATTTTAATTTGGCAAGTTAATAGTTTAATTAGGTCAGGGTTGGGTGTGGGGGCCATGTTTGGGGAGGGGTTGAGGGCCGGGAAGGGGGAGGGGGTGAGGGCCAGAATTGGGGAGGAGGTGGAGGTCAGGTTGGGGGCTGTCTCTTATACACATCTAGATGTGTATAAGAGACAGGCAGTGCAGTGGACGTGTGACGTGCAGCACCGCAGTGCAGTGGACGTGTGACGTGCAGCACCGTAGTGCAGTGNGACCAACACAGTTTCTGTACATTACCCGGCACAAATAAAATATGTAATTTTACAAGGTATAAAATTTTTCTATTTGTAGGTATTCACTTCCAAATAAATATTAAAAGCGTTATAGAAGCAATCAAAAAAAATCTTCAAACATGCAGGCTGAAAATCTTACCAAAAAATGTGCCTGCTCCCAATTTATGCCAACAAATACAGATTTTTTCTTGTTTTCTTATTAGTTTTATTTCCGTGAGAAATTGTTGCGTTCACAACAAATTGCGATGTTGGATATCGTAATGGACATTTTTATGTCCATCGTCAGCAAATCTCGCCTCTTCCGCATGCCCTGAACATGCGCATATTAGTTCATGCATGAGCATCATGTTCATGCGCTGCAAATTCTGCAACGGAAACACTTGTATTTTAATTAAAGTAATTTGCCTACGGAAGTTAATTGAGTTGCTTATCGTAATTGTGTGGATAGTTGAAACATTAGGCATCGGTATGTCGATTCATGGAACTACAGTTTCTTTTTATTTTATTTATATAAAAGTTTTGTCTCAATTGTTAACAAATCTAAAGAGTCGTTTAGAAAATGCCCAGAAAACGGCCGAGAATGAAAAGAAAATAGTGGGGATAATGAATTGAAAAATGCGTGGGAAGAAAACGAAAATAAAAGTTTATGTTAAATTGGGGTGAAATTGAAGTCTGATCCTGATGAATGCTAGTGAACACTGTAACATAAGTGTAACATGTCCATATTTTATGGACACTCATAAGATACTTAATTTGTAATTCGTCAAAGGCGTCACTATTTTCAGCGAGAACTATACCTCAAACGACACTATTTTCAAAAAGAGCCAACACTATTTTTATCATGGCCACCATTATTTTCAGTCATGGTGTCACTATTTTCAGCATATACGTAATAATTTCAGCAAGAGCATAACCATTTTCAGTAAGTCTCACTATTTTCAGCAATTGACCTCGCTAGGATTTAGCGCGAAATTGGCTTGGCCGCTCTTGCCAGTTTATTTTTTTTACAAGGGTCGGGAAACCCAGCTTATACTTATCGCTGCCAGCTGCTGCTTGCAGCTCTATCTGCACAACAACTGCAGCCACCGCGTACACAACAGCTGTTACAGTTACTTATACTGGTTGTAGAGAAACAGCTGCGGCTTTTTTTGCAATTACATTTCTGAAAAACAGTCGCAGATCATAAAAGAGTGTGAACGAACAGCTGTAAGGCTGTAGATCTGAACAGCTGTAAGGCTGTAGGGCTGAACAGCTGTAAGGCTGTAGGGCTGAACAGCTGTAAGGCTGTAGGGCTGAACAGCTGTAAGGCTGTAGGGCTGG